TTTTTTTTTTTTTTTTTTTTTTTTTTTTAAAATTATAATAGTAATAATAATAATAATAAATAACTGAGAATCTGTATAACCCAAAAGTCAATTTCCTAGAATCCATAAATAAATCGGATCTCGTGCCATACTTCTAAATAGCATATGAATTATAAATAAGTGAATAAAGCATAAGAATTTATTACCATTTGAAATACAAAATTTATGGGTATTTTAATTAATTTAGCCCGAAATTATATTATAAAAAGTAGGATTAGAAAGAAAAAATCTAAATTTGAAGGGGAAATGGGCCCAAGAAAGTAGAATCCTTAGGTAATGGTGGGTCCATAGGTGAATCCTTTGATCTTGGTCTTGCAATTTACCCTTTTTCTCAATTGACTTTGGCACTTCGTTTTATCAAAAACATAGATTAATATTAATATTAATATTTGATACCCACGAAGTCTTTTCAAAAGTTCTATTGTTTTATTCCTTTGTTTGTTTGTTTTTTTTATAAATAAATTATAAATTTAACTGAATTTTAAAATTTTATCAAAATCATATAAATAATTATTTTGACTTTTGGTTGTAAGGTAATAAATAAATTTGAGAGATCTTTTCAGTAATATTACTTGAAATCTCTTAGAATTTTGACCAAGGCACTAGAATACGTGCAACTTTAACGAAACTTAAGGCATAAATAAATATCCTAGACTTGAATGAATTTGGCCCTAATTATTGCCATGATTTAAGAGTTTATAGTATTGTAATGGAGTCGGCCACTCTAGATTTGTTTTAATAAATTCTTAAAATTGAACAGCTAATAGTTTTTTAGTTAAAGAGAAATTGAAATTAACTCTTTGATTTACTTTTTTTAACTGTAGTATGAGGAATAAATTAATGTTAAAATTGATGCATATGTTATTAGTATGTATATAATGCACACGTGGAGATAATATTTTAATTTTCTATATTTGAAAGTCATAATATGATTGAAAATTTCACTCTAGAATGTTGTGAGTTTCTAGCTCTTGTGTGGAAGAAATGAGGCATTAAGTGGTTGTTGTGAATGGTGATGCAGAATCGATGTGTGAACATGATAGCTCACTTGTTCAATGCCCCATTGGGGGAGAATGAGACGGCGGTGGGAGTTGGAACAGTGGGATCGTCGGAGGCCATAATGTTGGCTGGCTTGGCTTTCAAGAGAAAGTGGCAGAACAGAAGGAAGGCTGAAGGCAAGCCCTATGACAACCCCAACATTGTCACCGGAGCTAATGTCCAGGTATCATCATCATTCTCATTTCACTCCATGCCATTAACAACATGAATCAAGTAATTTAAGTTATTAAATTTTCAATATGGGACATTAACAACATGACTCTCCTACTCCTGCTTTTCTTTCTGTTACTTCAATTTAATTTAAGTACCTGCTTCAGCTTCAGCCACTCATCGAGAGGATATTTCCAAATATCTAATTTGATAACATTGTTGTTCATAACAAAAATACAAAGGTATGCTGGGAGAAATTCGCAAGGTACTTCGAGGTAGAACTGAAGGAGGTGAAATTGAGGGAAGGTTACTACGTGATGGACCCAGAGAAAGCTGTGGATTTGGTTGATGAGAACACCATCTGTGTAGCAGCCATCTTGGGCTCCACTCTCAATGGAGAATTCGAAGATGTGAAGGTCTTAAACGATCTCTTAATCGAGAAGAACAAGGAAACCGGGTACAATTTCTTCCTCCCTCTATCTATTTAGTTTGGAAGGTATCAAAATAAATATTTGAAAGCCTTTAACAGATGGGAGACTCCTATTCATGTTGATGCTGCGAGTGGAGGGTTCATTGCCCCATTCATATACCCTGATCTGGAATGGGACTTTAGGCTGCCCCTTGTAAAGAGTATTAATGTGAGTGGCCATAAGTATGGGCTTGTTTATGCTGGAATTGGTTGGGTTATCTGGAGGAACAAGGAAGACTTGCCTGAAGAACTCATCTTCCATATCAACTATCTTGGCGCCGACCAACCCACTTTCACTCTCAATTTCTCCAAAGGTGCATACCATTTTGTTCTAATCTCTGTTCTTCAATATGGCCCTTTTCTTTTTAAAGCTTACTTTTTATTGTTTTCTGTAGGTTCTAGCCAAGTCATTGCTCAGTATTACCAATTGATCCGCTTGGGTTATGAGGTAATATTCCTGACCTTTATCAGTTTAAAGCATATTTTAGGTTCAATTCAAACCAATGTGATGATCTGAAACGAACTTCACAAAATTAGGCCTCATTTAGTACCATTTTTGGACTCAACTGACGTGGGATCTCGTAATTTTTATTGACAGGGATACCAGAACGTGATGGAGAACTGCAAAGAAAACATGATTGTTCTCAAGGACGGACTGGAAAAAACAGGGCGGTTCAACATTGTGTCCAAGGACGAAGGAGTTCCACTAGTGGCATTCTCCTTGAAAGACAGCAGTCGTCACACAGAGTTTGAAGTCTCAGAAATGCTTAGGAGGTTCGGGTGGATCGTGCCAGCTTACACGATGCCTCCGGACGCGCAACACATTACAGTTCTAAGAGTGGTGATCCGAGAAGATTTCTCACGCACACTTGCTGAGCGTCTAGTGAAAGACATTGAAAAGGTGATGCACGAGCTGGACATCCTCCCGTCAAGGGCTGATATCAGAGAAGAGACAAACCACGTCGTGGTGGCGAAGAAGAGTGCACTGGAGACACAGAGGGAGATCACCACTGCTTGGAGGAAGTTTGTGATGGATAAGAAGAAGACTAATGGAGTCTGTTAGAGTTGGAAGGCAAAGGGTATGCGTTAATTGAGAGCAACGGATGAGGTTGGTAGTTGGGAATGAGAGTTTTTTTTTTTTTTTTTTTTTTTT